CAGGCGTATGCAGCATGAGTCCAGCAGGTGGACGAGGCTTTCAGGCTTTCTTCTGGTGATGTGAGCAAAGTTCATAGAGTCAATCTGGACCTCTTGACTTTTTCAGTTGGCGTGTCGTTCCTTCATGAAGACACGTTTTCCTGGCACCTTCCCCGTAACGATAATCTGTCCCTTCTCAGACCAATCCTGTCACCTCCAGCGGTGCGGTTGTCTGGACAGACCTCAGTGGGTGAATGGGCTCTCTGTGAGACGTCTGAAAAGCATCTTAAATGTCCGCTTCACGATTGAAACACATAATGAACTTGAACTCAAGAAGAAATGCATAGAAACGCATAATGCAACAAGACAAAATCATGTCATGTTCAATGTAAAATATCATGTTCTTTTCAGCAAGTGTGCTCATATTTTTCTCAGGGTATTGAATGGTAAGGATGTCTCATATTAAATATCCAATTCTTAATATATATATTTTTTGGTCTGAATTATAAAAAGGAAATGCAGCAAGAGGTCAGAGTATTCAAAATAATCAAATAGATTCTATGATAAAAAGTCATGTAATAAAAACAATCGATGTTCAATAAATTAATATGTATATAATAATCAGTGTTTGTTAAGGAATCTTCCAATGCAAGCCACTTATGCAAAATCTAGGAAGTGACTTGGAACATTCTTAAATGTATTCAAGAATGGAGATGTTCGTTCCTTGCAATAGGTGTGAGAGTGTGTGTTTGTGTGAGGGTATGAGTGCATGTGCGTGTGAGTGTGTGTTTGTTTGTGTGTGTGAGTTGAGTGTTTGTGTGAGAGAAAGAGAGAGAGATAGAGTGTGCGTGTGTTTGTGTGTTGTTGTTGTTGGCCAAGTCCACAGTCAATGACAAGGTTGAATTGAGAATTCTGTAGTTGATTGAAGCGGCTCATACTTCAGATCTATTTGCTATGATGTTACTGTTATTAGTGGTATGTTGAGAAATCAGGGGCCCTCTGATTTTCTAACCACCCAATAACAATCAGAAAGTTTAAACATTATGAATTTTTTTTTTTTTTTATGCATTGCATTGATTTGTGACTGTAGCCATTAATATGTGTTTCCAGTGTTTTTCCATGAGTTTGCAGGGTGTGGTAATGAATAGCGTGTGCTATGTCATGGGATCAGCTTCCCATCGTTATGTGTGTGAAGCTATCCGGATCTGTGAGTGTGAAGATGCACAATAGATCTTTAGTGAAGTGACACTATCAGACTCTATGTCATCTCATCTTATGATGTGTAGTGTTCAGTCTGGATAGATTTGATCTATTCCAGGATGAGATGCCGTGAGGGTGTTGTGATGGAGGAGTGTGTTCAGTCAGTGTTCATGTCTAGGAGATGGGTGGAATCTATTGTATAACAATTGTGTTGCAAATTTTAGTTCCAGTTCTAAAACTGGAGGCCATCTAATGTAGTGATGTGTTGTTGTGGGATGTAAAGGCCTCTTGAATCGTCTTTTCACCCATCTCCCGAATCTCAGGTTACGTTCTAACAATCGTGAAGGCCGGCCGTCCCGGCCTCCGTCCTCCGAGGAATTGTAGAAGTTAACCTGACAGAAACAAACGCAGAGAGAACCACAGTTAATTTTGATGTTTTCAACAGTTTCAAATTCAGACATGTGGACATATTCGTTTGCTTGCTCCATTATCATGTCCATTGCAATTTTAATTCCAGCTGTCACATGAAACCGAGTTTCATTGACCAGGCCTGAATTATTGCTGTTGTTGCTTCAGTGTGTGACACCTAAAACAACACTGCTCTTGCAGTCAGCCTTCACAGTCTGCTGTTTCCCAGCATTAGAGATCCCAGTCTTCAGGTTTTAAACTTCAAATTGCTTTCATTTCAGCCAGATCTGTGTGCATGAATTATTTCATGGTGTCATTCACACATTTGGTTAGTGATGATCTCTCGTTACCTCTGATGTTTAGTTCACACCCTCCTTGTAAATTTTCTTCTTTGGTCAGTTGGCAATTACCTGTGCCACACCACACTTCAGTGAGTGGGTTCCGCCCTTTTGGCACTGGGTATTGGTCAACGAAATCGAATTGTAAGGATTAAATTCATAGTTCTCAAATTAATGCCTGAGAGGTTTCAATTTTCTGTTTGCTAGTTTTCAAATATATTTTCTTCTCATTTAGTCTTTTTAAATGGCCATTTTAACGTTTGATTATTCTTTTGAACTCTAAATTTTAGTTTTATCCGTTTAGATAAGGGAATCTATATCGCTCCGCAGTACTTCCTCGAAGCCCGCGCGACACACCCCCGTCAGTTCCAATAACCAATTCAGAGGTAATTTGACATAATATCTAAGATCTGCCGTATTCACACGTACAATCAGAGATATCTTTATAAGTCCCTTTGAATGCCTCCTCTAGAACTTAAATCAATGTATTACTATGGTAGGGACGAAAATGACCACCATGAAAGAAAACAGTTTATCAACTCAACGTCTCTTAAAATGGCTTCAGGTCAAACCCCGCAGTCTGAGAACCACGCACGTTTATCCAAAGTAATCATTAATTTAGAACAGAGAATATGGGCACACCCAAAACTAGGTTGATTAATCAGTGTTTGCTGATTCTAGTCGGAAATAACTTGCCCCGCCAATTCAAAGACCCCTTGAATGCCTCCTCTAGAAATTAAATCAATGTGTCACTTTAGTAGGGACGATTGACCACCAAGAAAGAGTATAGTTTATCAACTCAACATCTCTTAAAATGGCTTCAGGCCAAGCCCGTGGTCTTTAAACCACGCACGTTTATCCAAAGTGATTACTGACCTAAAACAGTGGATATGGACACACCCAAAACTAGGTTGATTAATCAGCCTTTGCTGATTCTAGTCGGAAATAACTTGTCCCCCCATTCAAGTACACTTAAAATGGTATCGGATATTAGCCGTCGCTAATCTGACGCGAAAGATGTGGAAATATACGAATCCAATAATCTAGGGAAAAACCAGCCTTTCAGAGTCATTCAGAATTAGTTCAAACGTAACCATTTACAAATTTTGTGTGCGAAAACAGCTCCCATTAAGTGGAGAGGTAAAGTCTATGTCCTATAAAGCTTTGAATATGTTACCATGGCGCCTTTTATATACTTGTATTACTCCAGCATGTTACAATGTTTTAGAGTTTATCCTGCCATCGTTTTTACAGACTCGCCACATTGAACAGCTCCTGCAATCAAGCAAAGTCTTCTAATTTTCTGCAACCAGGTTGCATATCAAATACTTTAGAGGTTTGTTTTTCAGAGAAATTTAAATAATTTAGTTCCATCTGTGTTAAAGTTTTTAAGCTTTCAAATGCAATGTATAGCATTCAGTATTATCATTGATCTTGCCTGGAAATAATATCATCCTGTTTTCGCCAAATCTGATGTGAAAATGTGGAATTATTTTGTTTTCCGAATATGAAAAGTATTTTTGTCTCAAATTCTTCTCATTCTTTTCAAGAATTAATGAGCATTGTGAATCACATTATAACCACATTCAGCATAGACACACACACGTTTAATTCAGTTCACACAGGATACATATGGCCTTGAATACAACATCAACAGCGTTTACCCAAGTGTTCCAAAACACTTACAGTAAAGCAATCCTGTGTTTAAAGAATAAACTTACATTTAGCCTATGTGCACATATAGTAGCACAAACAACTATACAGTGTGTTCTATGAGTGCGTTACATTGTGAAGCACAACTCCAAATTTGAAAATACAAACTATTGTATTATTGCTTTTTAATCCCATCTGTTTTACAGCGGAAGCTTTCCAATGCAATATAAAGTTTGCTTTATCATAAACAATGCATTGTCTGCCTCATTTATAAAATCACGTGTTTTCCGATCGTTTACAAACTTAGATTTTTATTTCTGTTGTTTGTCGATTCTCTTCACGTTGCTGGTTTGTTTCAACAAAGCCAATACAATGATGAAGACAAACATGCAAGTTTTGTTTTATAGCTCCTTGAGTAATGTTAAGGCTCTCAGAAAATCATTTGAAAGATGTTATTTCAAGTTTAGTTTTCTTTCCTTTTTGCCTAATCAAACAAGGATATCTTTAAAAACAAGGGTTTTACACTTTTATCTGCGCGCTGCGGCCGTTATCATGTCCTCACGTTTTAGTTTCGGACTAAACAAAGGGATTTCCGACCCGCAAAATAATGCAAACAACATTTTCTCAACACTTTTCAAAAGGGTAGAAAAATGTGACTTACCATAGTGGCAGAAGAAAGGAAGATGTTCAAACCTCTTGTTGATTTTAAGATTCCCGTAATTTGTTGGAAAGGACGTTGCTCGCGAAATCCATCTGTTGCGATCACGGAGGCGTGTCACCACTGTAAAAAGGGCCACGAAATCGACCCAAATTGAGGAATTCGATTCGTGGTGAAGGTTTCAAGCGCGTTCCGTCTTTTCCAAGCAAAGTGTTTTTTAATTAAATGCAACACATTTAATCTTATGTATTAACTCGTTTCATCTGACTCCATAAAATGAAAAGGGTTTATCAATGATATCTGTGCATCATTAAATATGTTAATGCTTGACTATTACTTTTAACTTAATGAAAATAAAGTCAAAGTCTGTTAGAATAGCCAAATATAACAATTTATTATGTCAGGTAAATGTATAGAATTCCACAAGATAATCAGAGCAAACCATCAAATGTTTTAGAACAAAGAACTTTACCCAACATATTAGGCGACATGAGCTGAGCCTCGAAGAGACACAACATCATGGGCTGATCTGAATACAGAAAGGCAGCCCCGAACTCTTGTTACATCTCCCTTTATAATCAGACCTCACCTGATATGTAAATCACCAGGATACAATGGAAAGTTACTGAATCCCCCTTCCATGTTTATCGGGGGCAGACCATTTGCTTGGTTGTAATTTGCATTCAGACAACAAGGCAGAAGGTGTTAACTCAAAGACCACACTCCTTTGTGTGACAGTGATTCCTAAACTTCTTAAAAACCTTATTACCTTTTCTTTTATTACTTCGGGAATGAGACATTATTACCAGTCACCCTGAGACCATCAAAATGATTCTAAACAATCCTTGAAGATTATCAGATTCACATTAAAACCATATTCTTGTGTGAGCTTTCAGTATCATTGACTGAGAGAGTGAAAGAGAGAAGATGCAGATAAGATGTTCAGAGAATAGGGGGTAGGGTGTCAAATGTTAATTTGCAAGCAATGCCTTTTGTCTTTAGAGGCCACTGGTCAGATATTTTCTCTTTAACCAGTTTTTCCAGTCTTACACTCTGAAACGAACAACCCCAGAGGGTTTGAAAATTAATTTTTAATAATTTGATGCCAAATCAAGGTCAGTTTGTCAAGAAATCCATAAAATGGGAAATGCTTCATGAAACCTCAGGTAATTTCATGATATTTAATAGCCTATTTCGAAAATCGTCGCTCTCGTTATTATGGAAAATGCTTGAAAACTTGAAAATGGGTTTATGTGCCCAAATATTCTTTTTCATTTGTACATTTATTAGCATATGCATATTTAGAACGAAATTAAATTAAATATAAAGATTTTTTTTTTCAGATTTTCAAAACAGATTTCTAAACGTGGCACAAGTATTTAAAAGAGAGATTTTGAAAATAACTTGATGCGAATAAAGATTTTATCATACAAGAGATGCTGATTAATCCAGCGAGAAAACATGAGGTCAGAATCTCTAGTTTATTAAATGCTACATTTTTAGTCCATTCAGAATCGTGAGAGATTCATGATCTCTATATTTAAAACAAAAACCCGTTTTCATTTTCTTCAGAATTGTGCAGCTCTATTATTTATGATTGACAAACAATGTGTGTGTATGTGTGTGTGTGTGTGATACCTGTTTGCAGAAGCGCAGGAAGCCGATAGAGTAAGTCCTGCCCCATAGACAACAAGTGCCATAAACACAGCTGGACCTGAACACACACACACACACACACACACACTAGAGAAACCGCTGATTTATCATCTGACAGACACACACACACACATAGAGAGAATGGCTGAACTCACTGGATGGGTTTTCCTCTGATCTCGGCCATAATGGCGCTCTCGCCGCCCAAATACTCATAACACAAACTCAAGAAGTTATAGATCACGAACGCTGCAGAAAACACACACACACACACACAGAATCAGCACAGAAAACAGAGAGCGGACTGAGACTGTGCTCTGATTGGCCAAATATCCCTAAAGTCTCGATCACAAAACTCAATATAAACTCATATATTTGTCATCGAAGCTGCTCAAAGCTAGTTATTAACCAAAGCGTAACTGAGCAATGAAAGACAAATCAAGTGTGCTGTAGGTGTGTGTGCTGAGCATATAGACATGATCTCAACACTTATCAGCTCAATATCACACACACATCCTGATAACGCTGAAGCTGTTTATAGAAATAGACCTGAAATTATCATATATATCCATACTTACTACTGTTAGTACTAGGACTGTGCAACGATTAATTGTGATTAATCACATCCAAAATAAAAGTTTGTGTTTACATAATATATGTGTGTGTAATTATTTTGTATATAAAAATTCACGCACATGCATGAATATATTTAAGAAAAATGTGTTAATAATATATAAAATATTAATATATATATATTTAATGTAAATTAAGTATAAACATATATACATGCAAATATTTCTTAACAAAATAATTACGTAGTGTTGCAGTATTAGTATTATAATTAAAATACTTACGAAAACCTTGAACGATGGCTTGACAAATAGAATTTTTTAAATTATTTTACGCTTAAAAAATTAAGCCTTTTTAAAGACATAAGCATTTCAATTAATAGTAAAAATCCATCAATACTTGTGTAAAATTATTCCTTTATTTAATAAAAATATGTGAGGTTATTCAATTATTCAATTAAAATTTGTAAGGAGTATTTAACCATTTAATTATGTAAGTATCATCCAATTAAATATGTAAGGATTATTCAATTATTTAATTATGTAAGGATTATTTAATTAAAACATGTAAGATTATTCAATTATGTAAAGATTATTAAATTAAAATATGTAAGTTTATTCAATTATTCAATTATGCAAGAATTATTCAATTAAAATACGTAAGGTTATTCAATTATGTAAGAATTATTAAATTAAAATACGTAAGGTTATTCAATTATGTAAGAATTATTAAATTAAAATATGTAAGGTTATTCAATTATTAAATTATGTAATGATCATTCAAGTAAAATATGTAAGGTTATTCAATTATTCAATTAAGGATTATTCCATTTTCATTTTAAATTTGTAAGCATTATTCAATTATTCAATTAAAATATGTAATGATTATTCAATTAAAATATGTAAGGATTATTCAATTCAAATGTGTAAGGATTTCTCAATTAAAATATACAAGGATTATTCAATTAAAATATGTAATAATTATTTAATTAAAATGTGTAAGGATTATTCAATCAAAATATACAAGGATTATTCAATTAAAATATGTAAGGATTATTCTATTAAAATATGTAAGGATTATTCAATTCAAATGTGTAAGGATTATTCGATTAAAATATGTAATAATTATTTAATTAAAATGTGTAAGGATTATTCAATCAAAATATACAAGGATTATTAAAATTAAAATATGTAAGGATTATTCAATTAAAATATGTAAGGATTATTCAATTCAAATGTGTAAGGATTATTCAATTAAAATGTGTAAGGATTATTCAATTAAAATATACAAGGATTATTCAATTAAAATATGTAATAATTATTCAATTAAAATGTGTAAGGATTATTCAATCAAAATATACAAGGATTATTCAATTAAAATATGTAAGGATTATTCAATTAAAATATGTAAGGAATATTCAATTTGATGCAATTTTATGCTATTATTTTAAATCTTGAAAAAATGCTTAATGTTTTGAGTGTATAGCGCTTTATAAAATACAGCAGTTTAGCAGCTTAATAATAAGTGTTAATGTTGCAAATCTCATCAATTATGCAACATACAGCAACAAATAGCATTTCATCTGTAAAGCAGCCGTACAGAAGATAACAGTGTCATATTCAGCTCGAGTCTCGCTCTCTTCTCTTCAGAGTAGCCGTTTAAAGGCCTCACACACACACACACACACACACACCTTCGTAGCAGTCCCGGACGGTGTCGAAGTACACGTAGTACTCCTCGTTGGTGAAGAACAGCAGACTGAGCCACGAGTCGAAGGCGTAGATCGGCACGATGAAGAGGATGCGCACGATGTGCCGCTGCTCGTTAGGAGTGTTATAGTAACGCAGGTGCATGTAGATCTGAGACACACACACATTATGACATTTATTATACATTTATTATCAGATTTTCATTCTTTATTAAGTGTATCACATAGGGATGCTACATCAATGAACACATTTAAACTGAGCAGAAATACAGATAGAAGAGTTTCATATGCGAGTTAAACATGTGTGAATGAATGATAAACGCCTGTTTGTGTGTGTGTGTGTGTGTGTGTGTGTGTGTTGTGGGGGGGGGGGGGGTTAAGTGGAGCAGGGGATACTTTTAATCACACACACACAGTGTGAGTTCTGAATCTGCAGTTGCTATGCAACCACCTCTACTCTCTGATGTCATGCCACCTGTTGCCAGAGCAACTGCTCCTCCTCCTCCTCCTCCTCATCATCATCATCCTCGTTTATGTCAGGAGTTTCCAACATTATGTTCCAACCTTGTATACACTAGATGTAATGTTAACGTTACAGTAAATAGATCATCAGTTACACAACATTAATAATCTATCCTAGTTATAACACGTGTTGCATATTAATTAAAAGAGAAGAATTAAGCAATACGCATATGAAATATTGCACTGTAAAAAAAATATTGTTGGTTTCACTTAAAAAAGTAAGTAACCTGGGTTGCCTTAAAATGTTAAGTTGATTGAACTGGAAAAAGTGAGTTAATACAATGAAGGAGATTAATTTAACCATCAGAAACTCAAAATAATAAGTTATCTCAACTAAATAAATTATTATAAAGTTGATTTGACAAAAGAAAATATGTTGTGTAAATATCTTGAAAATATTTTTTACAGTGTGGTTTTATTTTTATACTAGTATTACTCAATATATAATACAAAGAAAAATATGTAATATTTATATAGTGATTGTAATAACATATACACATTATAGGTATACAGATATCAAAATGTGCTGTATCAACATATTATTGTAAGAATGTATTTATATTTGATATAAAGAACATGTATTTCTCTCTCTCTCTCTCTCTCTCTCTCTCTCTCTCTCTCTCTCTCTCTCTCTCTCTCTCTCTCTCTCTCTCTCTCTCTCTATATATATATATATATATATATATATATATATAAATTAAATTACATACTTGAATTTCTATGATTAATATACTCTCTCTCTCTCTGTGCAGTAATGATGTGCAGGATAGTGTGTGTGTGTGTGTGACCTGTTGGCAGGTGAGCATCAGCGCCGTCCAGGTGAAGATCCCAGATATGGTCTGAGCGGTGGCGGTCATGAGGAAGATGGGCGTCTCCACGGCAACCACTGGGGTTTCCCACGACTGGTTGTGACCCTCAGGGGCCACCGTAACCACCCCGGGCCCTGGCGCCATGACAACCAGAGAGCCGTTTGATAGAGACACGCCCCTCCTCCACAGCTGAGCCATCTGCAGACAAGAGCCAATAAGAACACGGCAAAGACCAAGGGGCGGAGTCAGTGCTAATAGACCTTATTCAGAGCACACCATGACAGGTATGAAAGTGAGGCTGTGAGGGATAGACTTACCGCGTCTCCAATGGCATCCGCTGTAAAAAGCTGAATAAAGCTCAGATTACTTACAATTTTCCACAACTTATACATTGTCGGGAGTTTTTTGTCAAGTGAAATTTCTTGGAAAGATGTTTTTCCAGTGTTTCATGAGCAGAACAGTCCGAAAACACATTAAATAACAGTACAGCCCATTGAAGAGATGCATGTCTATCTCTCACAGCCTCGCTTTCATTCTCATTAAAAAAAAACAAAGATGGCGCTGCCGTGAATAAGGCGTATAACAACAAATGACCACAAAGCAACTCAATCATGGACAGAACAGAGGTCCACTGCATCACACGACAGCATACAGTGGGACTCTAAAACGCTCTCCTAAAGCAATATAGATCTTTCACTTGGAACCATAATGATATTCTTTGATTTAATAATAAACTTGAGATGATCTTCCTGTAGTGATGATTAAGCATCAATGACATCATCTGAACACTGTGTGTGTGTGTCTTCCAGGAAGTAGATAGTCTCAGTGTTGCCATGTCAACCGGGTCGGGAGACAGCAGCAGCACACAACGGACCGAAACACTGATCGCATCTGAGCTCATGTTTCTTCTCCTACAGAAAACATCATGAGATTCATCCATTATTAGCACAAACTAACAATAAGCTTTATGAAAAGATGTGAATCAAACTCTTTCAGTGTAGGCAACATTATCTAATCGTTTTTTTTTTTTTTTTTTAACTGATTGTAATTTATTTGGAATAGTTACTTTATTAATAAGAGTTATGCTACTGGAAATAAATTAAATGGCATCCGAAATTACATAAATCAAAACAATAGAAAAGGCATTAGTAATAGCTTACTGCAGTGCTTCGCTGAATGATCTATACCATGATACGTCCAAAAACGTGGCAATGTCAAAGATTATTTTTGTAATATAAATCTTTACGCATAAAAAAAAAAATGTCAGGTTGACATCAACGGATCTTATGATCTTATCATGTATAAAGGAGCAGGCCTTCTTCAGTTTGAGCCAAAAAACCTGTTCGTTAAAGCACATTAGTTCAGCTCATTGCTGTGTGTTCAAGAAGATCTCATCACTGATACACAGATGATTAACTTATATCAGAGATCAGCGACTTTACAATTGAGTAATTTTTTCCTTTTTATTGACAGAAACGAGATCGAGCGCTACTGATGTTCGCGATCCGTCTGATGATGATGATGCGCGAGCGCTGCGTCGCGTGCGGATGTTTCTACGATGTGATTTCATTTCATTAAAGATCTCCTGGAGTAAAAAAAACAATCACACTCACGTTATTCAGTGTATTCCGCTCATCTGCTGCTCTCAGGTCGTGAAACCCCGCATGATGTTGTTCCGCGATGCGCTCCGTCCGTCCACTGACCCTCGCTCGCTCCCCGTGACGTCATCGAAACCGCAGCACCGGTTCATAATGCCATTCATTAATAAGTCATAAAATATTGCGGAATAGATAATCAGCTCCTGCAGACATGAATACACAGTACCAGTTTCTATACACTGGTATAGAGTGCTGAAACAATTAACATCACGTTAGTAGGCCTAGACTAAATAAACTGTGCCAAATTGTACTTTTTGTATGTATTTTTTAAACGCACAAGTTTTACCAGAGAGAAGAGTAAAGTAGCCTAAAAAACATCAGCATCCCATTTTAAACAGTCGCATCACAGGACAACTGAATACAGATTTCATGAACCTTAAAAATCAGTGCAAAACGAACTAGTTTCCCAGATAGCAAACTGACATTGAATAACGTGGAAATATGACATCGAAACAACGTTGATCTGACATTGTTTTGCTCATCGAATTAACGTTGAACCAACGTCAGACGCGTCATTCTTTCAAAACTAACGGAAAATCAACTTGAAATCAACGCATTGTTTCAACGTAATGAAAGCAAACCAATTTTCGATTTCATTTAGCTTTGAAGAATGCCGCGTCTGACGTTGGTTCAACGTTAATTCGATAAGCAAAATCAACGTTGTTTCAATGTCACGAGAGACGTCGTTTCCACGTTGATTCAATGTCAGTTTGCTGTCTGGGTTACTACTGGTTTCAACAATACTTTAGCTTAAATATTCGCGTTTAAAAAGTTTTAAAAAAAATCTCTTTTGGTTGTTGGTTTATATAGGCTAGCCTCCACCCTTAAAACGAAAATGAATAAAAATATTTTTTGGGGTGGATTGATGTAGGCGAACCAACATGCTATGGTTAGTGCTGCAAAACCAGGGTTAATTTGTTTACCATGGTTTAACTACAATAACCATGTTTTTTGGCTCTATTTTTAAGCCATGGTTAATTTTACTATGGGCAAATGTAAATTATATCACACTCAGCTCTAAACTGCTCAATGTGGCTTTTAAGACTTAACTAGCCTACATATTAACATTATGAATTTCTGTAAAGTTGTTTTTGAAACAGACACACTAAGACTAATGAAACCCATATGGACAAGTTAACAGCTGGGAGATTAATCTGTTATTCGTCCAAATATTTCAGTTTATTTTAGCTCACTGTATGCACTGAAATAAAGTAAATTTTACTGCTACTGCTCTGTACAGCTTACCTGTTATCATCAAGTAAAATGTACTTACTATTGAACTTAACATTCATGAAGTAATTACGTAAATAATACTTAATTATATTTAAGTCTTTTTTTTATTTCACAAAGATAGAATTAAGTCAAATCTACTTAACCAAGTTAATTAAATGCAACAAAATGAACTTTTTACTCAAATTATAACATTGAATCAAACCATGCTTCTAGAGTGATTGTTTTCTTTGGTAAATAATACAATAGATATCATGTAGAATCCAAATCTGTATAATAGAGGTAATGCAGCACTTACCCCAACACAATACACAATGATGGTAACATTCGATAGATCGCTTTTGAGTATGAATGTCAGTTTGAGTAGAAAATTAACTCCAAATGTCATAAAACAGCAAGATACAAAACCTATTATCAAAATCAATGATACAACAGTGTAAAAACAGCTGGAAAACAAAAAACACAAAAAACAATCGTTTTCATTATTCATGCCCCAATGCATGATGGGAACATCAGTATCAGAAAAGTTAATAAGGTTTTAGTTAGTTTTATATCGTCAACATTTACGCTTTAATTTCTACAAGGCTAAGCTCAACTAAATTGAGTTGAGTACTAATATAGAATTTACTTTGTTTTTTACTGTAAAACCCAACAAGTTAAGCCAACTCATTTTATTTGAGGAAAGCGATTGCATTAATTCAATAGATGCGAGTTCTCTGAACTTATTTTAATCGAGTCCACTAAAACAATATTTATTAATACACAATTAAATTTTACAGTGCATTTAATATTGTATATAGCTGGAACCTCACTTTATCGAGTAACAAGTGTAGAATTCTTAAAATTCTAAAATTTAAAACTTTTCACGTAGAAATTACACTTGTTTTGTTTCTGTAGCACTCACTCATTGTTTTATCAGTGTGGAAAGATATGAATGCATCTAATCTACTAGAATTTTTGTTTAATGTAAAAACATATGTAAAAAAACATTTGTTTAAGTGATTGTAAAAAACATTACCATATGATTTTTTTAACGTTAACACACAAAACAAAACAATTAACAATACTATTAATCTTTATTAATGTTATAATCTCAACATTTGCTATAGGTCAGAAGTTGTATCTGTTAATATAAGTTAACGTAGTGTGAACTTGACGTAACAAACTAAAATCAACAAAGATTAAAAAAAAAAAAAGCAGGTAAAAATATCTTGCGAATTAGTACCCCATTGTAAACTAAGCGAGTGTTACCCAGTTTTTTTTTAAGAGTAACTGGAAATACATTTATAACTCGTTAATGTCCATAACACACTGACAAGTTTACAGCTGAGCGACAAAATAAGAGTCCAGAAGCCACAAAAACACAATTTTTATAACAGCTGCATGTCACTTTTATTTAAATAAACTCTTCACTTTGTCTTCCTCTGTAAAATCTCAAAAAAATGAAACACTGAAAGGAGTGTTAAAGTCTTAATTTAAAACAAAAACAACAATACAGACACATATAAACACATGTCTCTCAGCTGTTTGTAAACTCTGGACAGGCGGATAAGTTTGGCAGAAACGCCGTCACACGTTTGTGTCTTAAAAATGCTTGTAGAATCATTATTATTGCAGTTCAGCCAATACAAAAGGCTACATGAGTACGCTTAAAAAACAACCAAAGAAACGCCAATCGCAGAAACCCGCTAATGCCAACGTTTGTAAAACACAACCAGCAGTGTATAGTGCACAGTTAACAATGTACAGCCGCACACCAACTCACAAACACAGACGGAAACAGTAAAGTGCACACATACACGCGTTATAGACGTCGTCAGTCCGTCCGTCCGACACACTTGAAAGTCTCTGAAGATAACTGGTATATGCCATAGCAAAAAACAGCGTACGAATCGTATAAATGTAACAGCAAACCTGACGAACAGATAAAGAAGGGAACAGTGGAAGGTCAGTACGAGTACAGATGCGTTTAAGTTGCACAAAATTCACAGGAACGACCGCCGCGATGGATAGAAGAGAAGCGGGATCTGCGCGAACCTCGCGAAACATCGCAACATTTCACGCCGGGATCAGAAAATTAATCCTATTTTTAGGACAGCGGAAAAACGTTTTTCATCGTGATGAGAGTTTCGCGTTACTATCGTTCATTTCTAATAAAATTGCATTATTTAAACTGTAAAGTGTTTATGCATACTAAAAATCGAATTGCATTGTGATACAGTCGTGAGAATGTAACGAGGATTGTAACGAATGAAAACGTGCGAGTAAATGACGATCGAGAAAACGCGTACGCTTTTTTCCACCACAGAATAAAAACTAAAAAGGTAATCGCGACTTCTCACAATTCTGACTTTTTTTTTAGCGAGAACAAAGTCAGAATTGTGTTAAAAGTTACTTGCTAAAAAATAGCACGAAAAACGAATCGACTTTTTCCTCGCTATTGCGAATTTTTAACCGCCAGTTGACTTTTTTGCTAGTTCATTTATCGCAGTTCTGAGAAAGATGGTGGGATAGAAAGTCAAAATGACCTTGTTTTATTTCACCATGTGAAAATTGCACCAGAAAACAAACCAATTTTTGTTGTAAATTGCTCGTAAAAATTACGTTGTTTTCTTTATGCTAAATTTAGATTCTGCATCTCCCGGCAAATACTCTCACGCACGAACAAAACATCATGCTCGGGCAAATGATAGTTTTGCAAATATTAAAAATGTCTTCCCAAATTCTCATTGAAATTATTTAAAGTGACTATGCATCATGATACCAGTGTTTTTTTTACTCTAATCTAGTAAATATTACCGTCACTATTAAACATAACCGACAACGTTTTGCATTACAATAATGAGAATATGAGAGTAAATGTGCTCAATCATCACGAGAACAACATCACTATTTGTAAACGGGTCTTCCTTTGATTTTGACCTGATTCTGGAGTGAAATGTGGGCTGTTATGGGCGAGTTTCACGCATCTACCCGCTTCAGATGCTCTCGCGCTCGGACGAACTTAAAAAATCCACTGTCGAAGCGTTAAAACTGTCTTGCGTGTGCCAGCGCAACATCAAATTTACATCGGCTGTTCAAGTTGAGCAGTGTGTGAGAAAGAAGGCCTTTAGAAACAGTCCCTGCATTCAAATACATGATAGCTTAACTCTGGCAATGACGAGAAAGTCTGTAAGCAAATCCCACTGCGCTCGCACTGCACCTGTGTGTGTGTGTGTTTAACATCTCACTGGATATGAAAGCCAGTCAACACGTCCAGTGTGTGTGGAAATGCAGCTCTCTGGATGCGAGTGTGTGTGTGTTTGTCTTAAAGCTGCGGCGTGTGAAACCAGCTTCACCAGAAACAACTGCAAAAACAATGACGACATGCAGAAGCCGTGCGTTAGATGACTTGTTTTTCACTCAGTAAATCAAAATATACCTCGAGAATATGTTTAAGTTTTCATATAGATATGTGATTGATGCATACATACGTTTTGTTGCGATGTGACATCATTCAGCCAGTATTTTATCCATCACGGTGGTATTTGTCTACGCTGCCTTTAATTTATTTAATTTATTTTTATTAAACCTATTAATTAATTATGCATTTATATAAAAAAATGAAAACTATTGCTGTATTTACTAAATATAACAGCAAAACAAACAAAAAAAAATTATTTGGGAATAATTACGATGTAGACCCGCGAATTCAATGAATTATTAAATGTCAAAATTCTTTGTTCAGGTTTCAATAAAATGTTGTCACGAGGTTCATCCCTTGTCTTTGCCAAAACTACACTACAGAAAGATTCTAATAAAGCATTGGGCTTCCACATGTTTGGTAACGATCATTATTTTTGCAGTTTGATGCCGTTACGACACACTTTAAACTCCACGTACCAGTTTCTCAATAACTGTCAATCACAAACTGTCAGTCCCGC